TTGCTGAATGTAAAACTGATGATATGCCCTGTAAACTTTCACTCAATCCACAATAAAAAACTTTTAAAAAAAAGTATCTATTTCCACTGCTGAGGAAGCCATATCAATCGGTGATCAAAAGCACAGACTTTGGTGGCAAAAAGCCTGGATTTGATTCTAAGCTTCTGCCATTTAACAGCTCTGTAACCTTCAGCAAGTCGCTTTACACAAGTTTTCCCATTAATAGGATGGTGATTAATAAGAGTACCTAATTTTCACAGGGCCACGGCGAGGATTAAAGCAATTTATAATAAGTACTTGTAGTTGTTAAGTGCCCTCGAGTCAGTTTCGACTCATAGTGACTGTATAGGGTTTCCAAGGAGCAGCTGGTGAGTTTGAACCACCGACCCTGCTGTTCAAACTGACCGTGCAGTCCAGTGCTTAATCACACATGACTAATACATGCAATAAGTAATCCAGAAGGGGCAGCTAGTGGTACTCATAACAATACTATCTAAGGTCTAGAATCAGATTCATCAAATAATGTACCCAGTTTTTCCCTCCTCTCTAAAGCTCCTTCTAGTTCTTTAAAAACCACGACTACCACTGCACACTTAGCCATTAGCTTTATTCAACTTTATTCAACTACCTGTACACTTAGTTATTAGGTTTATTTGACCTTAATTTTAAGCATCTCATGTGAACACTGACCATTTCCCATCCTTTGTGATGGAGGTCACAAAGGATTTCCTCATACTTTAAAAAATATATATATATTATGAATTGAGTGAAGAGCTACAGAGCAGATCATCAGTTTTATGTTCCCCTTTTGAATTTTATTTTTAGGTAAATAATACCCTTGTATCGTGAATGTTGACCATTCCATGGTACAAATAGCTTGTTGTTGTTGTTGTTGTTAAGTGCTGTTGAGTCGGTTCCAACTCATAGAGACCCTAAACAGGGTTTCCAAGGTTGTACATCTTTACAGGAGCAGAAAGCCTCATCTTTCTCCCGTGGAGCAGCTGGTAGTTTCGAACTGCTGACGTTTGTGGTTCGCAGTCCGATTCGTATCCACTATGCTACCAGAGTTCCTATTTACCATTTGGCTGGAAATTCAGCCACAAAGGTGAATTCAGTTCTAGACCAGAAGGGTGTCCATGGGCTATAGATAGTCAGGGTCCACCAATCTCTTTCTGACCATATTTTCTCCCATTCTATTCAGGACTTTCTAATGAGACCCCTGACAAGTGCAGGGAGAAAGGACGAGGGCAAGGTAAGAAATGGGAAGCTGAATAAGGGGGAAAGAAGTAGGACCTGGGACCATGCTAGAGAAAATAACACCACAAGTATGATAAAAATAATCAATCACAAAGGGAAAGAACCTTAATAGCCAATTCACCAAGGAAACAGAAAGGGGTAGAACCCATTTCTGAGAAGCCCACATCCCTTTACTAAAAATCAAATTAATTTTCCTCCCCCTTATTAAGACTTAATGAAGGAGAAGCATCAGACCTGACCCAGGGGGAGGGCATCTGAGACCAAGAAGAGAAAACTCTACTTAATGCTGAAACCCAACTCTATAGGGTCTATCCTCACTCAAGAGGTAGACCTGTCCCCACTATTCTGGGAACATTCTATGGTAAAATAAACTTAGTGCTTTGCTGAATATTTTGATCTGCTGTTCTTTATCTCACTTCTACAGGAGACAGGGCTTACTAGGACTGTCTCTTCCAGACACTGCAGCAGGTATCAAGTCCAGGGCATTCCACCCTGAGAACTTTACAATCCCTTCCAGAAGAGTTGACAATGGTAGCCAGGCATCATCTAGTTTTTCTGGTCTCAGAGTCAGGGAGACTGATGTCCAACAGGTCCATTAGTTCACTGGACTAACTGATTCTAAGTCTTCAATTTTCATTACTATTCTTTCCTCCAATAAGGAGAAACCAATAGTTGGACCTTAGTTGACCACTCATGACCTTTTAAGAACCTAGTTACTATTCAGGAAGGAGAACACTGTCTTTGTGGACTATGTTATACCAATTCACCATGGTGTCCTCTGAAACTATGGTCCTGAGACTCCAAAGCCCAGCAACTTATCCCCTCAAGGTGTTTGGTAATATCTAATAGGTTTAAATAATTTTGCCCCCTGTATACTCCTGGAGTAGTGCTGTAGGATCAGCATTTGTACTTCTATCGACAAGGTCGGTGGTTCAAACACACCAACTGTTTCTCAGCAACCTTCTACAAGGGTTGCTATGAGTTGGAAATAACTCAATAGTACTTAACAAAAACAGTGTGCTCTGCCATATTCATGGTTATGTTTGCAGCAAAGGTAAATACCCATATATAAATGTTGTTAAGTGCCATTGACTCAGTTCCAACCCATAGTGACCCTGTACAGAGTTACCAATGAGTGGCTGGTAGGTTTGAACTGCAGACCCTGCAGTTCAAGTTGACCGTGCGGTTCAGTGCGTTATACTGCAGCACCACACAAGGACTCCCACTTATAAATATCTACTGTCAAACGTTAAAGATTTGTGGATATACTCCCAATCTCCCTCTCAAACTTGTTAGCCTGTGTATCTGTTCATGTATCTACTTTGAGTTATATTCTATATTTTCTCCCATTCTCTTCAAGATCTTCTAATGAGATCCCTGACAAGTGCAGGGTGAGAGAAAGGGGGCAGGGTGGTTATTTTTAAGTGCCTTTGAGTCAACTCTGACTCATAGGGACCCTGTATAGGGTTTCTAAGGAGCCCATCTTGTAGTTCAAACTGACAGTGCGTGTGGTCTGGTGCTCTATCCCACAGTGCCACACCTGGATTCCTTGTAGATCACTGTTGTTGCAGTATTGTGTATATGACAGTACTTATCTCTATTCCCATTAACTCTTGCACTGCCCACCTGTGTTTTCTCCTGCCAACCTTCCTCTTATTGTATATTGCCTTCTCCATTATCTAAGTTAATATGTGTTTACCCTCCAGCCAATGAATTAATTTCCCCTCCCTCACACCCCTGGTAATCAGCAAAGAATGTTTCTTTTAGCAGGAAAACATTTTCTTGACTTTCTGACATTATTTTTATTGTATTTCTATGATGTTCTACCCCCACTTAGCCCATGGCTATTTAAAAGTACAATATACCGTGGGAGAAAGATGAGGCTTTCTGTTCCCATAAAGATTTACAGCCTCAGAAACCCTGTGCAGGGTCACTATGAGTCAGAACTGACTCCACTGCACACCACCACCAGATGGGTCTAGTAAAAATGGATGGGGATAAGAATCTTATGATTCAATAATGAGTAATTATTATTGTGACTAATTGTGATAATCACAATTGTAAAGGTAGAAGTTTTATAACAAAAATGGGGGAGTAGTTAACCTTACAGTCCACAAACAGAGGACCCTAGGACCATCAAGGGAGAAGAGCACAAGCGGAATGCAGTACCCAGAGAAGCAGTGACATCAGAGATGGAGGCAGAGATGGGGACATGAAGAGAGGGAGCAGCTGAGGATGCTTGTTGTTGTTGTTGTTAAGTGCCGTCGAGTCGGTTCCGACCCATAGCGACCCTGTACAGGGTTTCCGAGGGTGTAAATCTTTACGGGAGTAGAAAGCCTCATCTTTCTCCCGCGGAGCGGCTGGTAGTTTCGAACCGCTGACCTTAAGGTTTGCAGCCCGATTCGTAACCACTACGCTCTAGATTCATGTAAAGACAGGGACTGAGAGTTGGTGACCAGGAGGCAGGCTTGCAGAATGTGGTTTAAATTATTATATGTGGCTGAGTGTTTAAAGAAAAAGAAAAAAAAAGAAAGAGCTAAAATGAATAGAGAAAAATACTGTTAACTAGTGGTGTATGGAGGGGATTAAAATCATTGTAATGCAACAAAGAATATGATTTGCTGAATGTAAAAGTGATGATCTGCCCTGTAAACTTTAACTCAATTCACAATTTAAAAAAAATAAAAGTACTATACAAACACTGAGAGTCATGGTGTGGCACTGCAGGATGAGCACTGGACTGCCAACTGCAAGGTTGGTGGCTCAAACCCACCAGCTGCTCATTGGACACCCAATACAGGGTCGCTATGAGATGGAACCAACTCGACAGTACTATCGAGTTGTATTATACAGCATAGTTGTATATACAGTATAGTATTATACAGCAGATAATAAATATACTCCAGTTCAATAACATCAGTAGAGTCTGGTCATTATTTATTCTACAGAATCAAAAAATTAAAACTTCAAAGAATTCCAAGAATAAAAAGATAATCTAGGCTACTATGAAAAACTACATGAGCCCAATTTTTTTTAGGAGTAAAGAAATACATATCACAATGAAGTTGTTGTTCTTGTTAAATGCCATTGAGTCAATTCCGACCCGTAGAGACCCTGTATAAGGTTTCTAAGGAGCAGCTGGTGAGCTTGAACCACCGACCTTGAAGTTCAAACGAATTTGCAGTCTGATGCATTAGCCCACAGCGCCACACCAGGACTCATCACAATGAATATATACCTAATATTTCATGTTCTCAAGTGTTAGTAAAACAATAAACCCATAACGCATACATTTGATAAAAGATTTTCAAAAAAGAAGTTAAGAGTTTGGGAAATTTTCTACAGTTAATAAATTAATAGCATTTTCCAAAAGAAAGTCATGATAGACTGTTGTTGGTGTTAAGTGCTCTAGAGTCAGTTCTGACCCACAGCGACCCTGTATAGGGTTTTCAAAAAGCGACTGGTGAGCTTGAACCACCAACCTTGTAGTTCAAACAGCTTTACAGTCTGGCACATTAACCCACAGCGTCACACCAGGCTATGTCCCCATTAAAACAGGAGAAAATAACAGAAGAAAGCAAGGGTTAGAGTCAACTCCTAAGAAGGTCTAGGAGAGGAATATAATTTCAATGAGTACGGAGGACAACTGCCCTTCCTTTTAATCCAGAACACATCTTAATCCTGGATCACTCAGAAGACCAGGCCAGCTAAAACAAAAATTAATCAAAATGTTATATACCCACCTGCAGCTCACACCAAGCAACCTCAACCCATGTTTCTGTGTCCAGTCCTTTATATACTGTTTTAAATGCTCCTCTTCCCAATTCAATATCAAATTTCAAAAATCTGCCACTAGGAGAGGTAGCTACAGCCTTCATTTCTGCTTCTTCTTCCATCTCTTTTTCATTCTTCTCCTTGGCACACTCTTTTGAGGATTCTGAAATTGTCTTTGAACACTGTCCATATTTAACTTCTTGTCCACCTTTTAACACATTTGTTGGAAGTTTATCTACTCTTGGGATATTTGGTGCAGTCTTTATTCTCTCATCTTTGAGGGGAGATTCAGTAACTTTGTCATCCTCAGTCATCTCAATACTCTTTCGGAAAAATCTCTTCCTTTCTACAGTTTCCCCAGAAGCAGAGAAAGTAGTATTTTTTTCCTTTATTCTAGCTTCCACTGTCAAAGCTGCAGCATCCTGAGGAACTATGTTTTCCAATGAAACTCTATCAGGTTTCTCAGAATCTTCTGTGCCAGCTAGCTCCCCTGAATCAGTGGCCATTGCAATTAATATTTATTGGCACTAGATATTTTTCCTGTTGCACTCTTCGGTCCAGTTTCATTTAAGGCATCAGTATTACCAGAACGAACTTCCTTTTATGTGTTCACAGATTTCCATAGCAACCTGAAGGGAAAAAATTGATATTTTAAAAACACCCCACAAAGGAAATCATTAAAAAGAAAACAAGTCACCTGATTTTTAATCCTTTTTTTCTTAATAAGAAGTTTAATCTTTATTCTGTCCAATCTTAGCAACCAGCAGACTCTAGGGAATGTTTCTTATCTTGTTTATCACTATAGCTCCTACTGCCTAGCAGGCTACTTGGCATATAGTTCTACAAACCTTAATTGCATAAATGTTGGTTAGAAACCTAATTCAAAACAAGTATTGTAACACTGATTTTGTCAAAAATTTTAGAGTTGACACATAGAAGTCTTTAATAAAATACTAGCTAATGATCTTGTCCAGATTTTTAACAGAAAAAAACTACTGTCAAAGATTTATATACTAAAAGAAACCATACTAAAGGGGGGTAAGGGGAATTCACTGTTGATTGCTGGGAAGTTGGTGGTGGGTGAGGGGACGGAGGGGAAGGTGGAGCACAGGGTAGGGATTAGACACAGGAAAGTTTGGGTGCTAGGGAGGGGGGCAATATACAAGGAGGGAGAGGGAAATGGAAGAACAAAGCAGATGAGAGAACAAGTAGGCATGTTTGAATGGGCTAAGTGGACAGAGATAAAGAACGATGTATGCACAACCTTGGAACTACAGGGCTCTGGGATACAGAGATTGGCTCATGGTTGGAATGGGGGAAGAGGGGGATAATGTTAAGATGCTCGGCAGTCTTTTGAATCTTGGTTTCCCTTGCATTATAATATAAAATAGACACTGGAGGGGGAGAGAAAGGAATAGTCAGAAACATCACCATAGAAAGCTTGTAAGTCCATCTTCTGCCGATAACTGATTGGAATACCTAAAATGGGGCTAAAAGTGCCCAGGGAAGGAGGCTTCCTGCGAAGCCTTTGCAATACATAAGACCATAGATAGAAGCCTGAACCACATCCAGATCTCCAGAGATGGGAAACTCCCACTTGAAAGGATGAGCACACCAGCCTGGAGCATTTAGAAGAACAGAAGATACTTCTTGAAAGAAAGACCTACAGGAAAAATACAAAACAATAGAGGCAGATGGACTGTTATTACAAGAACAAAC